CCCTAGAAGAGTAGGTGGTGGATCACGATCAACGCAACAGCAGGTGATTGCTACGTTTTGCAACAGGCAAAAATGGACCCACGTCAGTCACAGGCTGCAGTTGCAAAAACATTTATCAGGATTGTAAGGCATGTAATCCCAGGCCGAACAGTGGCACAGTGACCGCATAGGCATGGTCTCTCTGACCGACCAACAGTATCTGGTGTTCCTTCGAAACCCGCGCATCGGCGGGAACATTTGCTAGGTGTCGGGACATGGGCGATGGACCACAAATCGCCGTGGGTCGCGTGCTGTTCTCATTGAAGAGCAAATCGATTGTGAGTAGTGATTTTGGACTTACCCGCATGTGGCGAGAATCACCTCACCTGTATCACCTGTCATCGCCGTTGATCGTCGATTTGCTCGAGCAGGCGCCAGCAACGTCTCCATTCGTCCCTGGTACCAATGCGAATGATAAATGAGAAAAGGATAGGGTAAGGCTCACGTACTTCTGAGCTTCTAGGTGTAGGAGATCGGGTTAGGGTTCAGGTATGAATATGGGTATGGGGTCACCTGTCACCTGTCACCTGTCGTCCCGTTGATCATCGATTTGCTCGAGCGGGCGCCAGCAACGTCTCCATTCGTCCCTGTCGCGTGCTAGAGTGGTCCAGTGGATCCTCCTCGCTCGAGGGACACGAAGCCCTTCATTCCTTTCGTTCAGAGCTTTCGTGAAGAAGTCTGACCATCGGGCCGGCGGTCGTCCAGGTGTTCGTTTGACGTCCCGAGGGATCCAGTCGGTAACCGCTCTGGTCCAACGGTCATCGCAAAATCGCATGACGTGTCCGGCCCACCTTATCTTCGATTCCTTGGCGAAAACGGCAGCGTCCCTGATCTTCGATCGTTGGCGTAGTTCGAACTCCGGATTCCCCTCTGCACTTGCGTGTATAGGGTTACTCCTAGCATCGTCCTCTCGACAGCGCGTTGGATAACGCTGACCGCATGCTCGTCCTGCCTGCGCAGAGTCCAAGTCTCTGAGGCGTAGGTTAGGGCAGGAAGGACAGCGGAATCGAAGAGGTGGGCACGGAGCCGGATGTTCTTCTTCACTACTCCCTCGATGTTCTTGTACGCTCCCCAAGCCGCTCGTTTCCTCCTGCTCAGCTCTGGAGCTAGATCGTTCATCATATTGATTTCCCGACCTAGGTACACGTAGCTGGAGCATTCGGTGATGTTCGTTCCGTTGAGCGTGAATGGGGCATCAGGAACCAATCCGTTTCTCATAAACATCGTCTTCGTTAGGTTCAGCTGTAGACCAACCTTACCACAGGCGCAGTCGAAATCAGCCAGCATTCGCTCCGCTTGCTCGATGTTCGGCGTTATAAGAACGATGTCGTCAGCAAAACGAAGGTGGTGTAGTTGCCGGCCGTCGACCTTCACTCCCATGTCTTCCCATTCCAGTTGACGCATGACGTTCTCGAGAGCGGCGCTGAAGAGTTTGGGCGAGATGGTGTCGCCCTGTCACAGGCCCTCTCTTGACGTCGATGATGACCTCCTTGTAGAATGGTGAGATCCTGGTCGTAAAGTTGCTGTAGAGCTCACGAAGAATCTTGATGTACTGAGTAGGGACGCCCTGGTTGCCCAAGGCTTCGATGACCGCTTCTGTCTCCACAGAGTCGAAGGCCTTCTTCAAGTCGATGAATGTGAGACAAAGCGGCATCTCTGTACTCATCCGCCTATTAACGGAGGGATGAAACATCAGATGAGTCGTGACACCTTTGTGGATATGGTCGATTGTGACTGTGAGAACACGCTCTTCGGAACCCGCTGCCTCGCGGATGGTGTCCTTCATACCCTATGTATGATTTGGGCGATGCACTCTGTTAAGGAGATAAGGTCGAGTGAAATAAGCATTAGTATAGAATTACAAAGACAGCTAGGCAGATATGTGGCGAACTAGTTACGCCAATAGTCGTCCACAAAGTCCTCCCTTTTGGGCAGCCGAACAGGGTCCTGCTTGGTTTTCCGCTACGAGTGGATAGCCATTTGCATTCCAATGGGATAGCGCAAAAAGCAGTCGCGCCAAGCAGCTTGATGTATACCTGGGTGCGTTCTTCAGATGTTCCGGTTTAACCCTGTCGAGACCGGGCGCTGTACAATTCTTCACCGACTTGATGGCGTGTCGGACTTCGGAAGAGAGAACTGAAGGACAACGTATCCATCCTCTTGCGGTTGATAAGTAGGCAGATGGACATGGCTATCGATGCAGTTCCGATCTGGACGTCGGAGGCAGGTCATCTTGGTCTTGTAGCTGGCAAAGCTTCGGCGGGCATTGCGGATGCTCCTCCCAGCCTCTGCTGCTTCAGCTAATACTGCTGCTCTTCGCTCCTTGAGATCTTCCTTTATCGCCTCTCTGCATAGCTTCGCAAGCTCGGACGTGAGTCGGTGATTGCCTGCAGCTCGTGCGGCTCCACGCTGGCGTATCAGTTCGAGAGTTTCCGGAGACAGACGTCCCTTGGTGACTTTCAAACTCTCTGCCTTCTTGCCACAATCGTGAAGATGTTCAACGAGCCGATAGTACTCCTCGTCGATGTTTTCGATGACGGAATCCTCCCATAAGCTGACGAGGGAAGCGAAGTGGTCCCAGTTGATGACTGTCCTGGGGCTTCGCTTCCTGAACTTTGCTGCTCTCTCAACACGCATCGAGAAGTGGAATCTTGCGCGGAGGAGACGATGGTCCGATCCCGTGTAGAACTTTGGAACAACAGCGACGTCGGTCAGGCAAAACCTTCGATTGAAGATGATGTGGTCTATCTCGTTATGGAACTGTCCATCAGGTGACTCCCAAGTCCAACGAAGGTGAGAGGGCTTCTTGGAACTGTGAGTTACCATGGATGGTGTTGGTCGACATGATAAACTCCGACAGTCTTTCACCCTGCTCATTCCATCCATTCCGTGAGTACCGATGTGAAGTTCTTCAGCCGTTCTTCTTGGGCCAATCTTAGCGTTGAAGTCGCCGACGATGACCTTGAAGAAGGTATGATCTTCCCTGTAGAACTTCTCCAATTCCATATAGAATGCTTCGTGTTCTTCCTCGTCGTAGCTGGATGTTGGTGCGTAGGCGACGAAGATTGTCAAAGCAGGAGTTGAACCACATCTTCTCAATCTCAAACGTCCGATTCGGGTCGTAAGGCTTTCGTACGAATCGATGTTTATGGCCAAGTGCGTGTTGACGAGGACACCCACACCGCCAACGCCTCTGCTGTCGCATGTTCCAAGGAACAGTTCTTCTCCAGTATCGAAAACGGCGTGTAGCGGGCGGTGCCTTCTCGTCTCGGTCAGTCCGATGACGTCGTACTTGATCTTCCTGGCCTGCATCATCAGATCTTCGATGTGAGCTTCGGATGCAAGCGTTCGTGCGTTGAAAGTACAGATCGCCATCTTAGTCCTTCTTCGTTTAGGCAGCCTATCCGGGCCCTGAGATTCTAGCAGCCTCTCCCGAGCGGTCCTACCCAACGCTGCCGTATTGGGGGCTCCCTCAGGTTCAGGGGAATGAGGCCCATCCATATTGCTGTTTTCGGCATATTGAAGGCACACGAGTAGCTTGCCAGGCTCTGTCGTGTGGGCTAGGATAGACCTCCAGGTAGTTAGCCATGTGGTGAGAATAGAATCACGTAATACACCCAGGACCATCGTTCAACATGATTGTTTTGATAGTCCATTCGATATGGTGTGGGGAGGCATAAAGTTGCAAGGGCGTACCAACCTCCCAACTCCTGATCGCGGAATGCTTTCTGATCGACGTTATTGTGACGCTGTACTCCTCACTTATGTGCATCTTTTCAAGGGTGCCTTTGACCTCAACTTCAATCGTATGGAGGACAAGGTGCGAGAGCATCGAGCAGCCTAGGTGGAAAACTCTTGAAAAGCGAGGATTTCCGGTGAAGCCTGCCCGCTTCCCCCAGTCAAATCCTATGGAGCACGTGTGGCGTGCATTCAGGAGAGCTATTGTAGCGCATCCCCATGCGCCAACAACTGTCCAGCAGTTGTCAATCGCGGTCTTCAAGGAATGGATCGCTTCTCCACAAGAACTCTTAACCAACCTTGTGGCCAGTATTGGAGCACGTGGCAGAGCATGCTTTGCAGTCCGTAGTGTTCATACACCCCATCAAGAACCAGCTCCTCTCTTTTGAATGTCTACCATGAGTTGGAGTAGCCTCACCCATCGACCGCTTCAGACAGGGTATTTGAAGAAAAATGTCTTTTCTAATCGTCCCTTGCGCTTTTCTGTTAGTAACTCTCTGCACTGTACCGCAACATTTACTTCTATGTATGTGCCAAATTGATCGACCTAGTTTTGCACACAGTGTATTACCAATCGCGTTGCGCTGAACTCGTTCATACGCCCGCTTTCTGAGCTGTTACCTGTTCATGAGTGAAAACCAACGGCCAAAAAAGGGGTCCCGTTTTGCATTTTTTGACGGATTTCGCTTTTTTTTTCGCCACCGACGTACCATTGAGCACCACCACGTCTCCTCCAAGCCCTTCTTGAACCTATCGTAATCTCTGCTTTCAAACAACATGTCAAACCAGTGAAAAATTGTCTACTCACAAGAGAGATGGACAAAAAAACTTTTGTGGTCGATCCCATTTCGGAATGCGACATGTATTCGTCTCTTGTTCAAAGTCATGACTTCGGGTGCCCGACAGGAAGCCCGTCCCGCGGCAAGAAAGCAGAGTCAGCGGACGAGTCGCATCGCGCTGTAGTTTTCGCGTCAAGTTAAATAGAATGTCCCATTGCACGTCCTACATCGCACATCACGCGCTGCGACTCGTCCGCTGACTCTGCCTTCTTGCCGCGCGATGGGCCTCCTGTCGGGCACCGGATAACTTTTGATGACATTTCACCCACGTTCATCCAATTCAGTGGTGAAGCACCATGAAAATTATCAAAAAAAACTAATTGTCATCAAATTCTGCTCAAGATTTATTCCACAAAGAAACGCTGATTCCACGGTAATCCCAGATTACTCCTGCGTTGGCTTTGTATTTGGATGCGTTTCCTCTTCTTCTGTAGCTGCTTCTGGCACCACTGGTCGCGACTGCGGTGTTGTAGCTGTTGCCGTTTCTTCTGCCGTTGTTTTCGGTTCTGGCTTTGTATTCGTTTCCTCTTCTTCTGTAGCTGCTTCTGGCACCACTGGTCGCGACTGCGGTGTTGTAGCTGTTGCCGTTTCTTCTGCCGTTGTTTTCGGTTCTGGCTTTGTATTCGTTTCCTCTTCTTCTGTAGCTGCTTCTGGCACCACTGGTCGCGACTGCGCTGTTGTAGCTGTTGCCGTTTCTTCTGCCGTTGTTTTCGGTTCTGTTGGTGTAGTCTGATTGTGGATGCATTCTACAGGCGCATTTTTGTAGTACTGCCCCTTTTCTACGACTTCTTTCATCCATTGCGACACCTCAAAAGACAGAATTGTTGAGACTGTGTCGCTCCTGTAGACGCTGACATTCAATGCATATTCTATGCAGAAAAGCTTTGAAAACATCACCGGTGCCGTACCTTGTCACAATCGGTGTGCAAAATTGAGAAAGTGAAAGCAAAATTGCCATCGACGTCTGCTGAGCTGAGATTAGCGAATTTTCCCAGCTTGTTGGAGTACTGCTCGATCTGAAGCGAATTTCGAGACCAGAGTGTAGGTCTAGATTATGGAGAAGAGAGGAAATCGTCACTCACATGTGTTGCTGGGAAATAGCCCATGTATTGTGGGACCTTTTCCTTATCGTAGTCAACGATGGTGACTAACTTGATGTTCGCACTTTGCTTATTTAATACAATGTCAGCAGGAGACGGTGGTGGCGGCGCTGGTTGACAGGCCTTAAAATTCCTCTCATTTGGCTGTCGAGCTCGCCTAAAGTCGCCACCTACGAGGACTTACCCGGGTAACTCCAACAACGAGTAACACGAAAAGGAACCGTTTCATGTTCGAAGACCGATGTGATGATGATCAGTCGACCGTTGCGACCCTTATATCCCTGCCACATGGCTTTACGACCATTCGAATATGTTGATTCATATGTTTTTATTGTTTATTGATAAGTTTCCTATGCCATATCCACAAAATTTGAATTTCATCGCTTTTGGACGAAATTTACGATTTTCAATTATTTCGTTTTTATGTCGCTCAATCTGGCATACTGTCATCGATTTTTGTATTCAGAATAGAATAGATGAATGCTTTTTTCAGTCAAAGTTTTACGCAGATCTTTATCACTTACGACCTCTATAGGACCATTTATAGAGAGGGGGGGGGACAAAAAACATTTTGCTCATGTCGCACTACGGCCCTTTGTGATTGGGAATTTCTCAGCAAAATATTCCCAAATGTCCCTCTATAAGTACACGCAGGCCCTCCTTCACTACCCTCACCGTCTTCAGAATATGACGTCATCTGTCACCGTCGTCGAGCTCAGGGAGGCCTACAGTAACTGCTTCAGCCTGAAGCTCTTACATAATTTCTTGGATCGATTCAACGTGGGATAGTTTCCTAGGGACATTAGCTCTAACTATGCAAACCCCTCGGAACCCGCCCTTCGGAACCCGTCGTAACGGTACACGATCAGTCGAGAACCCCATTGAGCTCGACCAGAGCACCATGTTTCCGGGGCAAATTTTTCTGATGCCGTCCACGTAGGTGGCCACTATGAAGATTTTCTTATAAATGAAATGCGCTCTTCAATAATAAGTTGGGAACATTCGGTTTGAATTGAGCAAAGTGTGATTAAATCCATCTGAATGTGGAAACAAAATGTCTTTTTATTGCCCCCCCCCCTGTTTTCAAAGGTAGAAAGGCGCTCATGAAAACAGCTGTTCACTGAGGATAAAGGCTTTATGGCTTGTAACCTCAATGATTAATTTAAGCGTGCTCTGCTACCGCTGATCCAAGTCGACTGCTTGTGCCACCCCCTGATTTTTCAGATTTCTGACTTGGCTGGAACTTTTATATGTCGGCCCAGAAACCATCGTTTCCCGGATCTTTCAGAACACGGAGTGTTTTTTCAAAAAGATTTTCTGATCATCGTAGAGGCTCATGTGAGAGATACAGAGCCCTGGTCCATTTCTCCCGAACGTTCCGAGGAATGGCAAAACAGCGAGAAGAAATGATCCAAAGTTGAAAGGGACATTTGGGGAATATTTTGCTGAGGAACTTCCGTCAACGACGGCAATCTCTGCGAAGAAAAAAGGGCCGAAGTGCGACATGGGCAAAATGTCTTTTTTGCCCCCCCCCCCTGTACAAATGATCCTATAGAGGTCGTAAGTGATAAAGATCTGCGTAAAACTTTGACTGAAAAAAACATTCATCTATTCTGTTCTGAACACAAAAATCGATGACAGTATGCCAGATTGAGCGACATAAAAACGAAATAATTGAAAATCGTAAATTTCGTCCAAAAGCGATGAAATTCAAATTTTGTGGATATGGCATATGGAAACTTATCAATAAGCAATAAAAGCATATGAATCAACATATTCGAATGGTCGTTAAAGCCATGTGGCAGGGCTATAAGGGTCGCAACGGTCGACTGATCATCATCACATCGGTCTCAAACATGAAACGGTTCCTTTTCGTGTTACTCGTTGTTGGAGTTACCCGGGTAAGTTCCTCGTAGGTAGGCGACTTTAGGCGAGCTCGACAGCCAAATGAGACGAATTTTAAGGCCTGTCAACCAGTGCCGGCACCGTCTGGGGGTTTTGCTGGTTATACTGTCCCACACAAACAAAGAGCGAACATCAAGTTAGTCACCATCGTTGACTACGATAAGGAAAAGGTCCCACAATACATGGGCTATTTCCCTGCAACTCGTGTGAGTGACGATTTCCTCTCTTCTCCATAATCTAGACCTACACTCTGGTCTCGAAATTCGCTTCAGATCGAGGAGTACTCTAATAGGCTGGGAAAATTCGCTAATCTCAGCTCAGCAGACGTCGATGGCAATTTTGCTTTCACTTTCTCAATTTTGCACACCGATTGTGACAAGGTACGGCACCGGTGATGTTTTCAAAGCTTTTCTGCATAGAATATGCATTGAATGTCAGCGTCTACAGGAGCGACACAGTCTCAACAATTCTGTCTTTTGAGGTGTCGCAATGGATGAAAGAAGTCGTAGAAAAGGGGCAGTACTACAAAAATGCGCCTGTAGAATGCATCCACCCTCAGACTACACCAACAGAACCGAAAACAACGGCAGAAGAAACGGCAACAGCTACAACAGCGCAGTCGCGACCAGTGGTGCCAGAAGCAGCTACAGAAGAAGAGGAAACGCATCCAAACACAGAGCCAGAGCCGAAAACAACGGCAGAAGAAACGGCAACAGCTACAACAGCGCAGTCGCGACCAGTGGTAGAAGCAGCTACAGAAGAAGAGGAAACGCATCCAAACACAGAGCCAGAGCCGAAAACAACGGCA